GGCTAATCCAAGAGGTCACTCCAATAGGGATATCATCTCAACTCGAATCCCTCCTCCAATAGAGTATAAATGTACGATTGATTCGTGGGAAGCTAGGGATAAGATGAGTGAGTATCTAAGCATAACTCGTGACTAGGCCTACGGAATATCTAAGACTCACCAACTTATCCATCCTTAACTCAGTCAAATTGAACCATTGAACTCTGAAAGAAGGAAGGAGAATGAGTTGAAATGGCATCCCCAAGTGAAGGTTCCCCTTAGTTTTGCCAACTAAAGAATTTAGCTACTCATGCCTAGGATGAAATTAACAATGAAATGAGAATGCATTGCAAAGGAATGAAGTTCTTGAGTAACTAAATGCAAGCAAACATAAGCTATAAGTGAAAGCAATGAATACACATTTTACAGCTAGGAAGAATGAAGAACATAAATGTATTAATGGTGAAAACTTTAAAAGGGAATTAAACTTGCAATGAACTTGTAGGAACTAGCATTAGTGACATTAAATGAAGCGCTAAAGATTCTTCTTGGAGATTACAAGACAATGTAATGAAGAAAATGTAAAAATCTCAATTTATCTCTCTAGAATACTATTCATCATCTTCTCCAGACTCTCTCTCTCTATATCTCTGTGTAATGTACGCCATCTGAATAATGGAGTCATTTTCCCCAAAAATGTCCATAGTCTGCTCCCTCAGCTGAGTGATGTGATCCCCCTCATAGGGACTGCATGGTGTAGACTAGGACCAGCCCGATGTGTTACCCGCCGGAATAACGAGAACCAACAACGAAAAGAACCCAAAATCGTTTAACGAACAGATTTTATGGTAGACCTTGACCCGTTGTTTACAACAAACAAGAACCTTGGTATATAGACCTCAACCCACTGTTTGTGAAACAAGAACCTCGGTATAAAGGAAGACGCCACAAACGGTGTAGAAACCTGTTTGATAAGTCGTTGTTGAACGCCACGGAGAATTCCGATAAGTTCGTTTAGTTCTTTAAAGAACCAAAGAGAAAACACTCTCAAAATTTGCTGAATAATGATCTAAATTTTCATTGATCTGAATGCCTATTTATAGGCTGGTCATTACAAGGATTAGGAATCTTCCTAAAATAGCTATCCTACTTAGGAAATATCTCTTACTTGTGGGTAAAGAAATATCTCTTACTTTCCTAAGACTCTTGAAGAAAAAAGGAAAGACATTCAGCCCTTTAAATGGCTGAGCACATGCCTAAATAGAAAAAGGAAAGTACTTGGCATACAAGCCTTACAATTAGACCCTAAAAATAAAGAATAGTGCACATACTGTAGCATGAACAGTGCACGCTACAGTAACATTGAAAACCCTATGTCATAAGAAATAAAACATGTGGGCTAAGCATCCTCAAGCCCACTTATTAATAATTCTAATCCTTTAGATAAATTGGAGGCCTTAACAACAATAAACCAATTGAATCTTAGCCTTAGTCCCTAGCTGGATTCTTCTAGAACTTGAATCATGTTGATGAATCTTTGTTGCCCAAGTGGATCATGGTCAATGGGCCTCCACAAACTTGCTTGATTCTATGCCTCTTGAATTAGTCCATTGAGTACCTCTTTAAACTTTCTTTCTCGTGCTCTCGTAACCGGCCCACTTGGAACTTGAACTAAATCCCTTGAAGTTGTGTTATGATTTGCATCATTCCCCTCCTCTTGAAAAGGATTTGCCCTCAAATCATCACCTACATCAAAAGGACTCAAATCAGTAACAATAAAAGTAGCACTTACATTGTACTCACCAGGTAAATCTAGCTTGTAGGCGTTGTCATTGATGAACTCCAGGACTTGGAAAGGACCATCTCCCCTTGGAAGCAATTTGGAACGTCTTTGCGCCGGAAATCTCTCTTTTCTCATATGCAGCCAAGCCCAATCTCCGGGTTCAAAAATCAGCTTGTGACGTCCCTTGTTGGCTTGTTTTGCGTATTGCTCCGAACTTCGCTCAATGTTGAGTCTTGCTTTCTCATGAATCTGCTTGACAAAGTCGGCTTTCTTCTTGCCATCTAAATTAATATGCTCAGTCAAAGGTAAAGGAGATAAATCCAATGGGGTTAAAGGATTAAATCCATACACAATTTCAAAAGGTGAAAATTTAGTAGCAGAATGAATGGATCGGTTATAAGGAAACTCAACATGTGGTAAACATTCTTCCCATGTTTTGATGTTCTTTTTAATGATTGCCCTCAATAAAGTAGACAAGGTCCTATTTACTACTTCAGTTTGACCATTAGTTTGGGGATGACAAGTAGTAGAAAACCATAGCTTAGTACCTAGCTTACACCACAAAGTCTTCCAAAAATAGCTCAGGAACTTAGCATCTCGATCTAAAAACAATTGTTCTAGGCATGCCATGTAATCTCACAATCTCTCTAAAGAACTAGTTAGCAACATGCGAAGCATCATCCGTTTTGTGACATGGAATGAAGTGTGCCATCTTAGAGAATCTATCCACAACCACAAAAATTGAATCTCTCCCACGCTTAGTCCTGGGCAATCCTAACACAAAGTCCATTGAAATATCAATCCATGGCTCACTAGGAATTGGTAAAGGAGTATACAAACCATTGGGCTGCACTCTGGATTTAGCTTGCCTACATGTGATACATCTACCACAAATTCTCTCAACATCTCTTTTCATGTGAGGCCAATAGAAGTGTTCTTGCAATACAGCTAAAGTCTTTGCAACCCTAAAATGTCCCATTAATCCCCCACCATGAGATTCCTCCATTAACAACTCCCTCAAGGAACAATTAGGCACGCATAACTAATTCTCTCGAAATAGAAATCCATCAAGCCTAAAGAACTTACACCACTACCGGTTTTCTCACAAGCCCGGTATTCCTCACAAAATTCGTGATCATCAACGTATAAATTTTTAATGTGCTAAAAACCAAGGAATTTTGCATCAAGTGTAGAGAGTAATGCATACCTGCGAGAAAATGCATCGGCAATCACATTCTCCTTACCTTGCTTATACCGGATGACGTATGGGAACGTTTCAATGTACTCCACCTATCGTGCATGCCTTTTATTTAGCTTGTGCTGGCCCTTCAAGTGTTTCAAGGACTCATGATCGGTGTGAATCACGAATTCCTTAGGCCATAGGTAGTGTTGCCAAGTCTCTAAAGCTCGAACCAATGCATACAACTCCTTATCGTAAGTTGAGTACTTTAAGGCTACCCCGCTTAGTTTCTCGCTGAAGTAAGCAATTGGTCGTCCTTCCTGCATAAGCACTACTTCTATGCCAATACCTGAAGCATCACATTCAATCTCAAACGTTTTCAAAAAGTTAGGTAAAGACAATAAGGGGGCGTTAGTTAGCTTCTCTTTGATTAATTGAAATGCCTTTTCTTGTTCTTCACCCCATCTAAATCCAACGTTCTTCTTGATCACTTCGGTAAGTGGTGCAGCTATGCTACTAAAGTCCTTCACAAACCGCCGATAGAAACTAGCAAGTCCATGAAAACTACGAACATTACTTACACTTGTGGGACTCGGCCATTCTTGGATTTGCACGTACCTTCTCTTCGTCAACCTGTATACCTTGTGCACTAACAACATAACCCAGAAATACAAGCTTATCGGTATAAAAAGTACACTTCTTTAGATTAGCAAACAACTTTTCTTTCCTAAGCACGTCTAAAACAGATTTCAAATGTATTACATGATCGTCCATGTTTTTGCTATAAATGAGTATATCATCAAAATAGACAACAACAAATCTGCCTATAAATTCACGCAAAACATGATTCATAAGTCTAATAAAGTTGCTCGGAGCGTTAGTCAGTCCAAAGGGCATAACTAACCATTCATACAAACCATATTTTGTTTTAAAGGTTGTTTCCATTCATCTCCTTCTTTTATTCTAATCTGATGATAACCACTCTTTAAGTCAATCTTAGAAAATACACAAGATCCATGCAGCTCATCTAACATATCATCTAAGCGAGGAATGGGATGACGATACTTTACCGTTATGTTGTTGATGGCCCGGCAATCGGCGCTCATTCTCCACGTCCCATCCTTCTTAGGTACAATTAAAACTGGAACATCACATGGGCTCACGCTCTCCCTCACATGCCCTTTCTCCAACAACTCACTTACCTGCCGTTGAAGCTCCTTTGTCTCCTCGTGATTGCTCCTATAGGCTGGTCGGTTTGGAATTGTTGCACCAGGAACAAAATCAATTTGATGTTCAATCCCTCGGATTGGAGGTAACCCATGTGGTGTTTCCTCTGGAAAGACATCCTCATACTCCTACAAAAGAGAAACAACAGAACTAGGCAAAGCAATGTCAAGTTCGTTAGGGTTTAAAAGTGCCTCTTTGTACAAAAGTACAATCATCGGCTGATTTGAAAACATGGCTCTCTTAATCTCACTCACTTTTGCATAGAAATTCTTTTGTTTCCTCTCTGATTTTTTTCAATGGCCGCATTTTGATTTTCTTTTTCTCTCTCATTTTTCTTGGCCTCTCTCTGATTTTCATTTTTTTCACTTTTTTCTTTGGTTCACTCTCTTTCTTTTTTTCACTCTCTTTCTTTTGATCACTCTCTTTTTGCAATCTCACTTGATCCTCATATACTTGCTGCGGTGTCAATGGTACAAGAGTGATTGATCGTTGATTAAGCACAAAGGAGTATTTGTTTGTAAAGCCATCATGCTTCACATGCCTATCAAATTGCCATGGACGCCCTAGCAATAAGTGTCCAGCATGCATTGGTACTACATCACACAACACTTCATCTTTGTAGTTACCATCCTTGTATTCAGAAGAACAACTTTTGGCAATGTTATTATACATGGTACTTGCTGATGTTCATTGTCGATGTCTAGATTTATTCCGTAGAGATATATAAGAATAAACTATAATGTCTCATACTGGACCCTATGGATCTAATTTTATACCTGGTCTATGGCCTTTTTCATATAATTATCTTCCCATATTCTGTACATGATATGTGGAATCTGTTTTGAGTGCGAAATTAAAGCTTTCATGTGGACTGGTATAATTTGTATTGAATATGATAAAAATTTGACGTTATTGTTTGTCAAATTGTGGTATAGTTTTACAGCTTAACTTGTCATAAGGATTATTCATTCTGATCTCTCCTTTTTTTTTGTGTTCTTCTCTTGGTCTTGATTTATTTTTACTTGAGTTGTACTAATAATTTGAAACAGAATATAGTCATAATCTGTGAGAATAGTTTTTGTGTAATGCTTCTGTTTTTTGGCCTTGGTTTCAGCCTGATGGCCAGATGCCAAGTGACAAAACAGTTGGTGGAGGTGATGATGCATTCAACACCTTTTTTAGCGAAACTGGAGCTGGCAAGCACGTCCCTCGTGCTATTTTTGTAGACCTTGAGCCCACTGTAATTGATGAAGTGAGAACTGGAACATACCGCCAGCTCTTCCACCCTGAGCAACTCATTAGCGGCAAGGAAGATGCTGCCAACAACTTTGCCCGTGGCCACTACACCAGTTAATAGCATTCTACTCTCGCACTAATTATTTGATTCATTCAATTGAGCTGAATGCTGATGTGTTATATGCAATGGTGTTCCATTATAGTCGGAAAAGAAATTGTTGATCTGTGCTTGGACCGCATCCGGAAGCTTGCAGACAACTGTACTGGTCTTCAAGGTTTTCTGGTTTTCAGTGCTGTTGGTGGTGGCACTGGTTCCGGGCTTGGATCACTTTTGTTGGAGCGTCTTTCTGTTGACTATGGCAAGAAATCAAAGCTTGGTTTCACCATTTACCCCTCACCACAGGTCTCCACATCTGTTGTGGAGCCCTACAACAGTGTACTTTCAACGCATTCCCTTCTTGAGCATACTGATGTTTCTGTGCTTCTTGACAATGAGGCCATTTATGACATCTGCCGGCGTTCCCTTGACATTGAGCGCCCCACTTACACCAATCTCAACCGCCTTATCTCCCAGGTGAATAAAAAAAACTAGTATCAGAAATTTCCTTGTGTTTTAAATTTGCTTTGAAAACCATAACTGATGATGTCTATTTGTGCCATCTTTGGTGCAGGTGATTTCTTCACTTACTGCTTCTTGAGGTTTGATGGAGCCTTGAACG